AGGCGTTGAAGTGGAAGCGACGTCAGTTGTCACACATACAGCAGCTATTTAGGAAACTATGTGGAGCCATATTCTCAAAACACCGTACATGAGTCAAGATGAATCGGAGAAAGATAACCCCTGGGAAGGCAAGAGAAACAGAAGAATGAAAAACAGAAAAGAAAGTTTAAAAAAACTTCTGTGCCTGTCATTAGTCAAATGGCTCACAGTTGACAAGATGCTGACTCTGTCTCAAGATCTTTTTTGTGCTCAGGCAAGGGTGATGACCAAAGCTGTGGGCAGGCCTGCTGCTCTAAGCATTCTATGCATTACCTGTGCGCCTCGTTCCAAGTTTCTCTGAGGTTCACACATGCCTGGGAATCTACAGAGACTTTCCCAGTTAGGGATAGTTTCGATGGAATGAATTTCTGGGCCGTATTTCCATTTATATTCTCTCCTGTGTAAGGTGGTTCTTTTCCTGCTCCTTCATCCCCTTCAGATCGCCTCCTCCCACCAGTTGGGGCACTTGTCAAATGGTGCAGCGCCCAGGGTGGAGCTGTGGGGCACCACACCAAGGAGTACCAAGGTATACCAAAATGAGTCCAGCAGGAAGCTGTTGTTTCTGATGAATGAAAGGCCCCTTAAATAGTCATACTTCTGTTAACAGTGAAGCATCCCATTAGAAATGGGGCGTATAGGACCTTGGAGGCTCTGAAATCAGATATTTCAGCACGGTAAGAGTGATGGCAATTTTCTCTTAACAGTCTCTCCTCCTTCGTTCCACAAACAATGTCAAATAATGTACTGCTTTTGAGAGAGTAGATGAAAAGAGTGCTTTGGAGAAAAAAAATATTGAATGCTTAAAATGATACACACATGCTTTCTAAATGTAATCTCTAGTCTTTAAAATATAAGCTCTACTCTTCAGCAAGAGGTGATATGAAAGATATTTCAAAATGGATGCCAACCATAGTGGGCTTGCCTCTATCTTCAGCTCCACTTAGTACTCAGGGCTACATACAGGATGGCTCATTAATTGCCAAGAACAGCAACTTTATTTTTTATTTTTTAAAAGAGATTTTATTTATTTATTTATTTATTTGAGAGAGAAAGAGCATGCGAGTGGAGGTAGAGGGGGAGGGATAAGCAGACTGCATGCTGAGCATGGAGCCTGACGCAGGGCTCCATCTAAGGACCCGAGCTGAAACCAAGAGTCTGATGCTTAACCGACTGAGCCACCCGGGTGCCCCAAGAACAGAACTTTGAACAGCCATAGTTACCTGCTAGTGACTCTTGCTGTTTTATTTTCCCCTAATACTTTAAAAATACTTATACAGTAAAACACACATTTTAAGTTTATATTTTCACAAACTTTGATAAATTTGTTTGACCCTGAACACGGCGTGTAATATTCCCGTCATCCCAGAAAGTTCTCTTAAGCTACTCTCCTCTTAAAACTTCCCACCCAGAAGCAACCATTATTCTGATTTCTCTCACCACAAATTACTTTTGCCTGTTCTAGAAATTCATTCACTAGAAATGGAATCCTACAGTATGTGCCTTTTGTGTGTCTGGCTACTTTTACTCAACATTTAATATTTGAGACTTTTTCTCCATGATGTGCTATGTATCAGTACTTCTTTCCTTTGTATTATGAAGTATTTCATTTTACAAATATATAATGATATTTTACCCATTTCCTTATTGAGGGACATTTGGATTGTTTCTAGACTCTTATGAATGAGAGCTATTATACAGCAAAAAAGCACAGAGAAGGAAGATAGAAATAAAAATAGAAATTAATGAAGGGAAAAACATTAAATCTAATTAATCGAATCCTTTAAAAATTTTAATATAATTAAAAGTGACATTATGACCAGTTGGGATTTATTCCAGTAATGCAAGGTAGGTTCACTATTAGAGACTCTACCAATATTGTATACCATATTGTTACATCTAAGGGGAAACAAAACCCCATATCTCTAAAGCAGTGATTATTTCTAAAGCTAGCATCATATTTAATAGTAATACCTGAGAGACATTTCCACCGAGATCAGGAACAAGGCAAGGGTGCCCATTATTTCCATTGCTTTCCGCATTGTGTGGGAGGGTCAGTGCAATTCAGGTGTTAAGAAGGAGTAAAAAAAAAAGGGGTGCCTGGGTGGCTCAGATGGTTAAGCATCTGCCTTCAGCTCAGGTCGTGATCTCTGGGTTCTGGGATCGAACCCCACGTGGGGCTCCCAGTCAGCGAGGAGTCTGCTTCTCCCTCTCTCTCTGCCTCTCCCCCTGTTTGTGCTCTCTCTGTCTCTTGTCTCTGTTTCTCTTTCAAGTAAATAAATCTTTAAAAAAAATAAAGAGTAAACAAGATATAAAACTATGTTTATTTGCAAACAACAGTTAATATACCTGGAAAACCTCAGAAAACCAGTGATTAAACTATCAAATAATAAAGAATTTAGTCAGGTAGCAGGATATAAAGTTAACATACAAAAATCAGTACCTTTCGCATAACCAAATAGAAAGCAAATAGAGGACATAGTGGTAGATGAGATCATTCATTACAGCTTCATGGTCGTTTATCAGCTGATACGCTTCTGTTCCTGCTGCTTCTGGCTTTCCGTAAATCAGTTGTGTTGCTCTCCCCACGGAACATTTGGCAAGGTCTTAGATATTTTTGATCGTAACAATGACGCGTGTGGTTGCAGTGTGGGGGTGCTAGGGTTTAAAAAACCAACTCCAAAATCCAAAGTAAACCTCTTTGGAAGGGGGTACTAGGGATACTGCTAAGTGTAGGACAGCCCCCTAACAAAAGTGAACTATTCAGTCCAAAATGTCAGTAGTGCTGGGACTGAGAAACCGTTTCCTGAACAAAACATACCTGTCTTCCAGGGCCTGTGTTTAGAATTGTGGGTTGATAGGGTTTCTGTCCCTTTAACTAATACATTGATAGGGTACACTTGAATGTAATGCTGAAGACTAATAAGAGAGGAATCACTTTCCTCCAGTTACAGACACTGATGGAAGTAACTTGTTTTGTGTAGCACTTTGGCGTATAAAGTTTCATAGACTTCTTATTTGATCTCCTTAATATGAGGTGGGTATGATAGGTGTTCTTATCCCTGTTTAGCTGATGAAGGAACTTACTGATTTTTCTATGGGTTTCAGGGACTAAATCACATCAGATTGATGGGTAGTTAGGTTCAGAGTGAGTGCATTGTTTGTTCATCTGTAAAAGTATCTTACCTGCTTTTTCTTCTCCAGAAGCTCATTTTAGTTCCAGCTACATACTAGAGATAGGTCCTGGGCCTGCAAAGTTGATTCCTAGTCCATATTTCCCTTTAATTGTATCTTGTTACTTAGAAATCAGTGCTTCCAGTGGAACTTTCTGTGGTGTTGGAAATGTTACTTAAATCTGTGCTGTTCAGTATGGTAGCCACCAGCAACACGTGGTTATTTAAATTTACGTTAATTAAGATTAAATAAAATTTAAAATCCAGTTCTCTTCCGTTGGAGCAGACACATTTCAGGTGCTCAACAGCACTGCATTATGTTATCAGTATTTCCCAAAGGAACTTCAATAAATCAAAAGCATCTTTGTTTCGGGCGCCTGGGTGGCTCAGTTGGTTAAGCGACTGCCTTCGGCTCAGGTCATGATCCTGGAGTCCCGGGATCGAGTCCCGCATCGGGCTCCCTGCTCGGCAGAGAGTCTGCTTCTCCCTCTGGCCCTCCCCCCTCTCATGTGCTCTCTCTCTCTCAAATAAATAAATAAAATCTTTAAAAAAAAAAAAAAAAAGCATCTTTGTTTCATTTTTAAAATGGAGGTTGAGCCCCATCTTAGTTAGCCTCTGCCCATTACTGAGGCTTAAACTCTGTGGAAAAGGAGGGTGTTGCTTTTTAATTTCTTTATAGGAAGCAAATGAATATCATCCCCATGTTGCTATCCCTCAGCTAGTTTCTTTCTCTGACACCTTGGTCATTAGCTGGTGTGTATGTTGTGAATGTGCCAACTCATGGAGTCCTCATGGGAATGGAATGTCTGTTGAAGTGGTAGGAATTCATTCCCCTGGAAGCATCCCATGTGGGCTGCTGATGTGCTATTGATTCTCCAGTTCCATCTGCTATACTCACAGCCCTTAGCTTCCACTTGATGTTAAAGTTAACCTTCTGTGACCACCAAGGGAATTGCTTAAAGCCTCCCTGCCTCCTTGGGAACCCTGGGAATTCTCCCAACACCTGTGTGTGTGTGTGTGTGTGTGTGTGTCTTTGCGTTTTAAGGAGTTTGGTCGTATTACAGAGTTTTCAGCTATACTGCGGTTTAAGTTGTGTTGATAGATGAACCTGGAAATATTACTGCTCTTTTTATTGCAATATTTCTTTGAGAAGGTATTTTCCAACTTACTGTCATTTAACATGACCTGAAAATTCGGGAAGTGTGTGTTTATGTAATAGAGCCCATGTATGTATTTAAAAAGTTAAAGTCTGTCAGTTTTAAGTTCCAAGTCATTTTATTCCTTGCACATTAAAAGAGAAGAAAAACATTTGACAGTTTTACATTCTGCCTATAGTAAAGTAAGAGGAAGAAAAGGCCCATTTTGCTTTGATGATTTAGAAAGGCTTTAGGCGGATTTTTTTGTAAAGTAATTTAACTGTGGTTTAAATTTTTCCTGTCGGTTGTAGTTTAATATCCTTTCATCACAGCCCTGCCCTCAATTTACCTCTGTGGTTTAATTAATTCTAATCCATGACTAAAATGCTGAGGTAAATGCAGTTAAGTTGTGAAGTTGTAGGTTGATGCAGTCCTGAAACAAAAAAATACAACATTTGGACGTTTTCTTAGTTCTTTTGGGAACTCCTAGTTTTCTGAATTGGTAATTTTGGAGTCTGTAGCCATATTCTGCATGTTTTTAGAGTAACGTGGATTTAGTTTTATCTTCCCCTGCCTCTGTCCCTCCAGTAGTGTTTCGGTTTGCAAAGCAGTTGACAGTAATACTAATGTATTTTTTATGCTTGTTTATTTTCAGAGGGAAGTGTAACATCTCCCATTTTTCTGACATATTTGCTGCTAGAGAGTTTAAAGCTCGAGTGGATTCATTTTTCTACATATTAGGCTACAACCCTGAGACAAGGTAAGTGAGTTACTTGGGCCCACTCAGTGAGAACTTTTGCTTTTCTCACGTGCATGTGTGCGTGTATGTGTGTTTACACATTTGGGTATATGCTAGTAAGATTTTAAAAAACCAACTCAAAAACCCAAAGTAAACCTCTTTGGAAGGTGTTCTAATTAATGTCTTTGGTGTCTAAACAGCTTATTGTTTGCTCTTGATTTTATTAAGAAAAGGAAAAGTGAGAAAATTTGGGTTTTGAGAGGGCAAGGCAAAGATGTACATTTAGTTGATCTGTGTTTTGAATTTAACTATGAATTGGCAGTTTATTACCCTACTGTACATTGTGTCAAGCCTTCCATGATACCATTATTGAAAATTAGGACATTTTTAAAAAAAAGGTTTTAATTAATTTATTTGACAGAGTGAGAGAGCACAAGCAGGGGGAATGTTACAGGGAGAGGGAGAAGCAGGCTCCCTGCCAAGCAGGGAGCCCGATGCGGGGCTCGATCGCAGGACCCTGGATCATGACCTGAGCCAAAGACAGACACTTAACCATCTGAGCCACCCAGATGCCCCGAAAATTAGGACATTTTTTGTTAAAGATTTTATTTATTTGAGAGAATGAGAGCGCATGTGTGTGTGTGTGCGCATGAGCCAGGGGAAAGGGCAGAGAGAGAGGGAGAAGCAGACTCCCCGCTGAGCAGAGAGCCCAATGCAGGGCTCAGTCCCAGGACCCTGGGATCATGACCTAAGCCGAAGGCAGACACTTAACTGACTGAGCCACCCAGGCATCCCTGAAAACACCTAGGACATTATGGAAAGTTTGTTGGTTAGTCATTTGTTTTATTTATTTAGTAAAACCTCAGAAACACTCAGAAATACCTTTAGTAAGATGACTGGTATGTGGGGCGCCTGGGTGGCTCAGTTGGTTAAGCGACTGCCTTCGGCTCAGGTCATGATTCTGGAGTCCCGGGATCGAGTCCCGCATCGGGCTCCCTGCTCGGCAGGGAGTCTGCTTCTCCCTCTGACCCTACCCCCTCTCATGTGCTCTCTCTCAAATAAATAAATAAAATCTTTAAAAAAAAAAAATTAAAAAAAAAATGACTGGTATGAGATGGATACATTCAGTTCTCAACCATCTAAGTAAGATCTATGTAACAGGTAGAATTACTACTTTTTAAGTGACAAACAATAGGATCAAAATAATTTAACAGAAAAAAATCTTTATGTCTGTAATAGATTGTAGTTTAACTTAGCACATGGAAGAACTTCTTTAAGAGTATGTGCATTCATTTTTATTCTGTATCAATCATGCAACTACAATGGATTAAGGATTTAAAAAGAAAAAGAATGTTAGCTGGTGATCACGTAGTCTGTGCTCAGGACATCCGAGACATAATCTACAGACATAAGGACTTAGAAAGATAGAGAAGCTGCTTGGCCAAAGGAAGGTAGTGGAAGAACTGCATTCAGTTCTGCAGGTGCAAGGTGGGTATTATTTTAGAGAAAACCTTTTCCTAGAGGATGCTGAGAAATTATATATAAAAATTAGAAGATTACTGTTCAGATAATCAATCTAGGGTTAATAAAAGGCAATATATTCTTTGTCACAATCCTAAGAGGCTGCCTAAAGCTCTGTTGGCACATACATATTAGTGTCTCTCTCTGTGTATGTTGTAGACAACAACTATAGGGGTAATAGTGTAATGAATGATCACCTGTTTTAAAAAAATTAAATTAAATTAACATATGTGTTACTGGTTTCAGAGGTAGAGGTCAGTGATTCATCAGTCTTATATAATATCCAGTGGTCACCTTTTTTTTTTTTTACTTTATTTCCTTTAGAAAACAGTAAATTTGAGCTTTTATTTTCTTTTTCAAAAGTATGCCCTGTTCCAGTGACAAAGAAGCTGATCAGTGATAGTATTTCAGAGCATCCTGTATTTCAAAATGTTTATTTTACATACAGATTTATTGACTGCCTGGTCATATCTTGGATTTCTGTCTTAGATACAAAGGAGTCCAGAATTTCAGTGATGCCATGTTGATTTAACTGTTTGATCAGTGGTTGTCACATTGCACAAGTTAGATTGTGTCAGTGAATTGACTAAATAGCTTTTGTGTTTAAATGTTTAGCTCTTGGGTTCATAAGAAGCAACCAAATAAATTTTTTACTTGTTTTGGTTATGTGTCTGTTTTTGCTGAATGCTTATTAAAAATGGTGTATTATATAACTTAACTGTGTAAATAGAGACTCACACAAGTTCTGGTCTCATTTTTCAGTGGGTGTTGCTGTCAGTCATTCAGAGTGATTTTTCCCATTAGTTAGGTTTTAAAGTGTGGCTTAGGTATGCAGTAGCAGGGTATCTGTCTCTCTTCTGAAAACAACACCGAGACATGCCCATGGCGGTGCGTCTATAGATTCTGCATCCTGAGTCACTGCTTTTTCAGCTTTGACTTCCTGGTGGCCATTTGTTCATTGCTGTGCTTGTGTTCTCCTTGTCCAGCTTGTGCTTTGATATGTTGTAGGTTTTTGAGGGGTGTTGGGTGAATTGAAATGAAAAAGGACTTGAATGTCTACTTATAAGTGAAGCTTGTGGCAGATCTCACACCTCTCACAAAGTGAGTGTAAAACTTTGCCCTGGCTCACCAGTTTCACCCTGAATACCACTTTATAACTCTGAAGTTCCCATAGTCACTCAGATTGTCACAGGAGTGTGTGTAATTCAATAGGAATGTAGAAAGACTCTACTTTCCCCACCTGGCTTGCACACAACCTAATCTTTAGAATGCTTGGGCTTCATACCCTTGCAGAATTTACCTCTGTTTGTGTCATTGTTTCAAACCTGTGAGGGATGGGGTTGTGTGAAAAGCGGGCTTCTGGTGTATTCTCCCCCATTCGGAAGTCCTGGCTGCATGCTGCTCTGTGCTAACTCTCGGTGCCCTGAGTTGTTTGGAGAGGAAACGTCAAACTGTTCTGCACCTGTGAGACAGAGCATATATGGCCAAGACCACTGCAAGTGACAGAACGGTGACTTTGATGACCGTTGCCCTCCCCGGAAATAACTCAGGAATGTTAGTCCAAGTGAACAGTTGAGACTGAAGCTTGAGATGGGATTGCTTCTTTCTCATAGCACATTTTCTGATAGTAGTTAAAAGCTGATTTATGTAATTTTCCATAATTTATTTAGCATATTCACCTGCACTGAAAGTTTGGAATGGTTTTTCACATTTTTGCATACTTTTTTTAAAGCCCCAGTGTTTGGCTACTTTAAAAATTTTCCCCTAAAAAAGAATTTTTTCCTCCTAACCTGGTTATTATATTTCTGAACATTTCATCTTGTCAGAGACCTGACCTTTCCAGACTTCTTCTTTTTGATGGGATTACTTTATTGAACCATGTGTATGACAGGAAACAAGACTTTTCTATATTCTTTGGTACTTTGCTTTTAAAGTTCAGGGAGGGTAGATTTCTTGGTAATTGACATGGAATTTTTATAATTCTGAAATTCTGTATTTAATTCTGAAATCCTAAGCTCAGTTCTGAAATCTGAAAGCTCTGAAAAATAAAAAAAAAATTTTACGCTAAGTTTGGTGCTGAAGCTCATTGGATGGTCATACTTGGCCTGAACTGAGATGAGGCTATTTATATTCTTGAGTTAGTTCACTTTGGGTTGAGTGAGTTTGCACAATTTTTACTGCAAAAGTATCAGTGTGATAGGAGTAGGGGGCCATTGGTCAGACACTTCTGGGGTGTCACACAGTATATGGTATATGGCTATGGTACTTTTCTAAACCTAAAAAATTCTGAATTCTAAAAATCTTCTGACCCTTAGGATCTTTGGTAAGGGATGGTGATACTGTATTCTTGCTAGCCATGACATTTAAGGAACAAAACTTACTTGAGTAAAAAATTTGGTGGCAGATGTTTCCAGCTTCAAATAGGATGCAAACGACAAGGGTCTGACTAATGAGAGAGGCCTGAATTTTGAACCCTTAGGTAATCAGGCTTTGCTTCTGGAGTTTGTTTTGACATTTCTGCACTCAGGGAGTGTGTACTTAAGATTCACCCCAAATTTAATTCTGCAGTCAGCAACCTACTCTGCAATATAATGTCATTATATTCTCATTTTGTCTGAAGGTTCTAATCCAAAATCTGGTTATAAAATAAAGCCAATAAATTTCAGCTCAAAAATCCTGATACATAAAGCCAGTTAGACCTTAGAGACATACGCACAAAGCACCAGTATTCTTGGCTGAACTAAAGGAGGTTGGCTTATAAAAAGAGATGATTATAATCTCTATTCATAGGGACATGGCTGCATTCATCTGCCTACTATCCTTAGTTGCTTTTTTATTTATCCAGTATCTCATAGCCTTTAATCTGACTTCTTGAACTTTTTTTTTAAGACTTAACTCCCCTCATGGACCAGGCAGCCTGGGTTCTGACTGTGGGCTGTCACTTCATCTTTGTGTCCAGGGCTAAGGCTGGTATTTCCTGGACTCTGTTTCTACCTCAATAAAATGGGGGTGACACAAGCTATCCTGTTGGTTGCTTGTGTAAACTGTCAGGTTTTTTGTTGCTTCTTGGGAATTGCAAAAAGAATTATAAATTTGGTTGAAAAATATCAAAGTTTGTTTTTTAACCCCATAAAATGTTAAGTCCAAAAGCAAAACATACACTACTTCCTAAGATGTCTTAATTCTACCAAGTAGACCATTAACCATCTGGTTGATTGTGCTGACATATGGAAATCTGAACACTGGGGATTTTTGACTCTGCTTAGAATATTGATTATAAAATTCATTTTGAAAATATACAGTTACTAAAAATGAAAGATAAATTTCTTGCCTCTAATGAAACTGACATGACAATTATAATGAATATGTAAGTGGTATTAATGTGAAACAATATACATTTCTATGGTCAGAATATTTCAGTGAAAAATTTGAGAGAACCAAAATTGAACAAAAATTTTTTTAAAGATTTTATTTTTTGAGCGAAGCGCAGAAGCGGGGGA